TCATATTCTTTAAAATAGTTATTTTATAAAAATATAAAAATTATTCACATTAACAAGAAAAAAATATTATTTTATATTATGTAAAACACATTTTGAATACGTTGGTTTTATTTGTACCATGTCAATTAGTAACTTTTATCATAATATTATAAGTATAGTTACGATAATGATATAGACTTATTTGTGTAAATTAATTCAGAAATTCGTCAACTTTATGCTTGACAATTAACACATTTTATTATAATCATACTAAATACCTACTTAAAACACATTTTCAATGTCATTTTTAAATATTTATAAAATTAAAGGCTCGTCAATCGTTTTTTTTTAAACTCAGAATGACAAAAAAAAAAACTAATTAACATAGGTAGAACTTTTAAAGACATATATATTGAACTCTGCCTACACCTAAAAATAACGATAGCTATTATTTTTTTGTTATAAAATGAATAACAACTTCAATAGAACCTAATTTTATACGATAGTGAGCAGGACACTATACCACTATACCAGCGTTAAATTCAAAATTTAATGTCAAAATAATAGAAATATGTTTGAAAACGTTTTCATTCATAAATTATAATGAGCTATTCAGGTAAAATTAAACAGCACACTATTTACTAATAATGTTAATTGTTGAAGAAATAATTCTAATTTTAAACATAACATTTTACCTATATATAATTTGTAATAATATTATTCATGATTTATGCTACAGTATATAGTTTTTTAAATTAATAAAACTATAAAAGTCAATATTCTTTCAAGATTATAATAGTATCAGAAAATAACCGGACAAGATATAGTGAACGTTAGTGTAGGTCACTCGTATCACTGCGATCACTTTTCCATAAAGATATAGACTGATTTTGATGTTAATTTAAAAACTTACATATTTCAAAAATAAAGTCAAAAAACGACTTGCAGTTGGAGATCAGTTCAAATCACAAACAACATGTTTTGGTAGTTTTCTTGTGCAATTAACCATAAACTATCGAGGAAATGGAAAAATTCCCCTTTTTTCAATCTAGATAAAATACTGATATATGGTAAACATGTAGAGAAAATATATATTCTAATAAAAATATTAAATTATTGTTTTTTAGGGAAGAAATAACAATAATTCTTTACGCCTATTCTTTGTGTTGTAATTTGAAGGTATATACGGATATTATCAAATTTTGACTGACCACGCCTGACTCAACAGCATATAAAATTTTATTTATCTTAGCTGAGGTATGAGAAAATAATAAATTGACGTGGGCTGTGATATTTGATAACGGTCACTTATCTTGGATTCCTAAAAGCAGAAATATTATTTGCTTAGGGTTACAATCCGAACAAGTCTAATCTGTATTAAATAGACTGATTTCCTTCAAAAATAAAAACAAATTTGCCCCTGAGATCATAATTGTATTTAGCGTTAAACACGCTATCGAATATATAATAAATAATACTTAAATTCTATATTATACTATATAATATGAGATAGGTATACCATATATAAACATACTAATATGTGTACACAATATTTTATGTATAAACTTAAACTTGTACACACATTTTGATAAATAAATGCGAAACTTAAGCAATTGATGACGATGAAAATAGATTTCAACATATTTATAGGAATGTAATTCATATCTTTATTTTAACGGAGACTATAATGCATATTATACATTGTACATATAATATATAATTATTAATATTTAATACCAAGAAAATTATTTCTCCCGGACAACGATAACACTTAAGAACTTTTGAAGCTATTGAATATATTATAAGTTATTACATTCACTTATAGCCATATAGGTATAGGTATTCGGTATACATACACATAATATTTATTTATCATATTAAAGTTAATTTTTTGCATAGTTATACATTGTATAATGTAACGTTCATTTAAAAAAAAAAAAAAACATTTTTCAATTAAATGTTTTTATTATAAGACACCATAATTTATGACTATCTAAATTCCTATACCTATCATGATTACATTCCCTCTACAACAGAACACTCCTACCTCAATTCATATTCAAAGCTTCGTCTGGCCAGATTTTAATATTGACAAAGAAAGCTTTGCAATATTGAAAGCCCCTTTGAAAGCTATTGGTGAATTTTTTTATGCTTTAGAATTTTGTTGATAAAAACCTTAAATCCTTTGACTATAGAGTAATAATGTACTCACTGTGAACGGGAAAGGGTATCTAGCGTTATTATTACAAATTCAAATCAGTTAAATACAAATATTGTTATTTGAATATTTTAAGGAATAAGATACCATCTAGTAGTTACTTTAATTTATAGTATCATAATTTATACATATACACTAGGTATATTGTCACGTCCAGACATTATCATTCATTCGTATATCCGCAAGATTTGAACCTAGTGTCAGTTTATAAATTGCCTGTTTAATTTTTATTTATCAGTTTTCAAAATATTATAAGCAATCGATCACGACCATCACATTTAAAATTCAGCACCAACATAACACGCAAAGACAGACAATGGTTACGTTGATTGCAAATATATGTATGATTAAATTAGTATATGATATTATTTATAATTATATAATTATTCTTATAATCAGGATGTTAAACAAAAAATTAGGTACTTACATTTTAATTATTATTATTTTTTTTTTTTGTAACTTTGTATTTAAAGAATTGAGAGTTTTAAAAAAAATCAATGTATTTAACAGCGATGTCTTATAGCAAAAAACAAATTTAAGTTATAATATTTAATGCTTTTTTTTATACTTGTTTTTAAATTTTAATTTTAACTGACCTTAGATAAACATTTTAATAACAGTTGTCCAGCAATTTTTAGTTATCTATACTTATTTAATTGTAAATAATATATTAATACATAATTTGTCCATTAAATGATAAATTGATAACAATTATAATTATTAAAAATAATGTCAAGGATTAAGCTATATGTATTATGAATATTAATGCTCGTCTTCAGTAAATTCGGTTATTTGTCCATAATATTCATACGAAAATATCTTTAAATAATATTTTAAACAACGCTAGAAAGAATATCAGGTTCGTAAAAAAAAAAAAAAGATTATATATAGGTATTGAATATAATACTATTTTAACTGTCTCGGTGATAAACTACAAACAACAGTATATTAGATAAGTATGATAGCATTGCTGGTATCTATGTAAATGTTTAAATAAGGGAGTCATGAACAAAACCAAGATGAAACAAATTATTGAAAATCCAATAAATTACTAACACAATTCACATACTGACGATAGGTAGTAATACAATATGTGCATAATACATACCTAATATATAGGTACCTATAATTCCGATCCTGAATAAACATCTACTCGCCGAGGCAGACGTTGGGTGGTTTCCGAAGTTATTTTATCAGGAATTTGAAATTCGATAAGTAACAAAAATATAAAAATGTAGAGACCATAATTTTATAATATTATGGGTACCTCCTACATATTATACTGCAATGTACACCTAAAAATACTGTAATGTTACCTAATACCTAAACACTATACTAATACCTACTAAATGCTTACCAAGTACGATTTGACGTCAAACAATAATATCAAGGGTTATATTATATTATATTCTTTTGTCGAAATTTAAAATAACACCTTTTATAGGCGACGTCCGTGATGGAAAACCGTGCGATAAATAATTTTAGGAAAATAATCAGGAATAAGCTAGTAATATTTATAGTTTGGGAATTGTCAGAACAATAAAATATTAAACGCGCGATACCAAGTTTTTCGAAGAACAGAATGTTATTATACCTACGAAGTGAAGAACGTTTACTCTGTACCGAAATAATAGTAATAATAATAATACCACGTGTCCATGTGTCGCGTGAATCGTGTGATACTGCGATATATTTATTATATAGGTAGGTGATGTCGTCGAGATGTTATCCGCGGATGTTTTCGAATCGATTACAAGCTGAAATGCCTGAAATCAACGCGAGGGGATTAGAACAACAAGAGTTTACACGGCCGTTTACGTCCCCGCCGCCGATACGTAAAATTAAAAAAAAACAACAAAACCCGTAGATAATCATCGATGAGTTGAAGTGCTTCGAGATAGGTATAGGTATTGATTTTTGTCCGTCTTCCACTATCGGAATAAGTTGCAGCACACAGGATGCGCATATCGGTAAAATAATAAAAAAATCGTACGGCTTCAGTGCATATTCTGTTACCGGGTTAATCTATTTTTTATTTTTTTTTTACACACGACTATTTCTCTTTCATTGTTCCACACACGGGTATATTAACCATATTATATTTACCCGCCGTGTGATTGTGCCATTTCATACACGCGCCACGAAAGTCAGAAGTTATGTATTTATAGGATATATTTATAAATCATATATATATATAGGTAATCATGTAGGTACATAATGTGTATAGGATATAGGTACGTGTAATACTGGCGAGAGTAATAATATTAATGTATGTTCCTCCGCCGCCACCCATCCGAAGTGGACGAATTCATTTGGAATTGCGCGCACGCAACGATTGCCGAATGAGAAGTATAATGACGGACGGTCGGGGGAGCAAAAAAAAAATAATGRATTGAAACGCACGCGGCCGGACATTAATAATAGAATCGTTAAAACTGTACGAAACGTCTTTTTGATAACTATAAAAATTCATGAAGCCTGCGGATAGGACCTAACCGACGGCCGCATTAAATATTAATTTATTACTTCCAGTTGCGATGATCCTTATTGTGTAGGTACGTGGGTATCGTTAACAATTTTTTTTTCGCCAAAGACGTTCCTAACGAGGTACTACAACAGCAGCAATAATAGCAATAATAATGTCATAATGATATCCCGGTATCATCGAGATATTTAAAACACACATATATATACATATAATATGCATACAGGTTCTATTATATGTGTATACTGTGTATAATAAATTTTATATGTATGTATAGTTACCGATTGGCGCATATTAATTATGATTTAATTCACTTACGATTCGCCGTAACTTTTTCAACAAAGACACTAAACAAAACTGCGGACTTCACGAGGTTCACTGTTACTCTGGACGACCTTTTATCATACTCGCAGTTGCACTCATAAAGTGAAATAGTTTTGCCCTGTGTATAGGTACACACACGTGCCAATTAAAATAATAAACACACGTCGCGTGAAAAAAAAAATAACGTTTTAACAACAAAACAATAAAAACCGTATTAAAAGGATGATATTAAAAAATGCCGTTCAATCGTTTAAAAAATCAAAACATTTAAAATGATTAAAAAGATACGCATTTACGCGACGAGGTGATTAAAAATTATTTACGCAAAACGAAAATGATGACAAAAACAACCAAACGGAAAACGCGCATCGGAACACGATCGCTACACCGACGTCAAACACGAACTAATAGTCTGTTCGCGCGCGCCCCGATCGTACACCGGTACCATATGCTCCGACGGCGCGGCGGTCTTGTACGGCCGACACTTGGGGGCGTTGCCGGTCGGCCTCRGTGGATTACGGCGACGGCGGCGGCGGCAACGGGCGAATATCGCGTCAAATAATCCAAATATATATTATAATTATAATAATATTATTATACGCAAACGCGATCCACTAATATTATAGGCATATGCGACGGACGAGAAAAACAACACTTGGTATGTGATGTTAAATACATTTTTTTTTTATATATGTTACCTACCCGCTGAATATAAATTAAAAAAAACTAAACCAAATAGATCGATATGCGATAATAATAAATAATTATTATTATTATTATAGTATACTATTATTATCGTAAATTCTGCAGTTCTGCACCCTATATAATATTAGGTATATATGTATACTATCTAGACTCATCAACTCATAGGTTCGAAACTAATTCGATCATAATAGGTAATAGGTATAAATCTATGTTGGTTTGAAAAACTACTTTTTTATACATTCAAGCTTAATTTTTTATGATCTATAATATTAATATTATGTAAGTCRCCATCATAGAAAAATGCCGACACGGCGACACGTGTTATTAAAAAAATATACAGAGAACTAAAAGGTTTTTAAATCTACCGAAATGATATAAAACTATTTTTTTTCATGCCTTCTAAATGAAACTTGTTGATTCTATAATAAAACGTAAGAAACAAAAAAACATATCCTAAAAACCAAAGCACGATTATGTTAATATTATCTACTATGTTACATAATTATAATTTATAACACAATAATACTATAAATACAATTATTGAATTATCAAACTACTCTTCATCAACCAATACAAATATCTGTGCGATGAATCATACTATTTATTTGCCCAAACTGTACAGAGATGGACAAGGTCGTTGCTAAAAATGTTATCAGGAGTGAGAGGTAATATCAGTGTATTTTTAATTTTTTAGCCCAATTTAAAATTTCGTTAAATATTAATATATTAATATATTTGTTAGTTATGGGCGAGGGGATTTCCTACGCTCTTGGTAGTGGAAAAACATACCACTATATAATATTAAAGCCAATATTTAATAATAATTCGCAATTATATAAAATAATTAGTTTACTATCAAAAAATATTAAAATAATTCTCAATTTTATGGAAGAATAAAACAGCTCTGTTAAAAAGGTTTTTAGGTACTTTCATACTTTTGTACTTATAATATTTATTATGTTATAAAATTATACTACATAATCCTGTTGCTCATCATTGTTGTACTGAAATCACCAAAACTGCATCTATAGCTATACGACTATAAAYATATTCCATAACAAACATTTTGAGATAATTACCATCATGTAATGATACAAATGTAATTACAGCTAAAAATGTGTGGTATGATACCAGCATGATAACTTWACACAATTTTATTTGTTACCGATTGTATCATCGCCACTTTGCCGAATTCCAATTCGCCGAAAACTCTGTTTGCCTACAAATATACCAGTTTTAAAAKATTTTTAAAAGATTCCCTTTTCGCTGACAGTCAAGTTATTCTAGTTTTCCGACGYTTCGGTTCGCAGAAAAATTATTAAGTCTAATAAGTTTCAATTTTCCCGATACGCCATCAGTCGATAATGATTTTATCGAAAACGGATAAGAAATCGGTAATAATATAATATTATGGTATGTTATCGATATAAGTKCAATGTTTTAAATGTTTTTCCACACATAAAAATATAAGTGCACTCCAAATGTGGTATTGATTGGTGAATTTAGTTTAGTTCATTCCAGMTATTTTTACAGTGAACTTTAGTTTAACTATTAAAAAGTGCTTATTAAAAATTGAATTATAAATGGAATGGTATAAAATATAATCCAAAAAAGATTGAGATTTACTATATGTTACTAATTTTATTCATGGAATGGACAAAATACGGGACACAACTGAATACTATACCTAAATGCATTCAAAATGACCACGATCACGATCACGACCACGATCGACCCATGACCCAACACACGAATTGTGGTTTTAGAAATAAACTGAAAATAAGTAATATTTGTTCTAAAACTATATGTTTTGGCAGATACTATAGTTTTGTACGATTAATTTAAATCATAATATTATAATATTTTACTATACTTATTGGTGTTAATTTATATTTTTAAATTTTTAAAAACAATTACCTCACGTGACCGTTTTGAACTGTCGAAGTTACGACATCGGCACTTACGCCAATATTTCACTCGGCTAYTCCGTCATCAGTCATATATATTATAGTAATAATATATACTTTAACATTGTTAATGCATTACTATACTCTAAAATAGTTTAATACAATCTTCTACAAATATAACCTATCTGCATCAGCTATTTATCTATAGCATATTTAATAGTTTTTGAATAACGAGTGAAATTAATTTCAGTGATAATAAACATAAAAATTCTAACATCATCATTGTTGACTTGTTGACCCGCCAATAAAAGAAATTAAGTTGATAAGTTTATCCTAGAAAATATCTTTGTGAAGAAGTAATTATTTAAATACGTATAGAGTAACTATTATATTTTACACGAAAAGCTWTTTTGTTAATTATACCCATTTATTATTTTTATTATTATTATTATTTAACATAAACAACTTATCGATTATATTATAGATACCTACTGCAATTAAAATAAATGTTACTTATACAATATGAGTAGCATTTTTAATCTTCTTATACGTACATAAAGAGGCCTAAATGTAATTTTATTATTTTATTTAAACGTTTAATATATATTTTGACTTGAGTTAGTCATTTTAAAATTGTTAATCAATCAAAAACCAAAGTATCGTCTTTTTTAAAGTTTAACAATGTATTTTTCTGACACTTTTTTTAAAATGTTATTTACATTCATAATATTTGTTAACAGGTTGAACACTAGTTATTGTGCTTCCTCTATATATTTAACAAGATTATGGTACGCTGTTCATGATCTCAAAGAAAATAAATGAGTGATACCTAACATTGAATATAGGTTAATTGAATTTGTATCTAATAAACGTAGTAATTCAACAAAGTTATAAAAAATGTTAAATATAAACACATAATACCTAGTTAAAATTAAAATACTGACCTCATACAAATGTATTATTATCACTCTGCATTAATGTTGTCGGTAGGTACATCAAAAGAGTCCGATACCTATTAGGAATCACTATTATTATCTATAATGCATCTGATATAAATATACAATACATATTTAGATGATTGATTAACCAGCATTTATAAAAATTAGATAAAAAGTTCAATATTAATGTAATTATACCTACATTTGAAAGTCCATGCCATCATATGGTGATTTTGAAAGTTTGCAATGTTAAAACCTTATAAAAGAAATAAATCAATCATTATAACTTAATAAATTAGCTATATTCGTACAGTATCTCATAATCTAGTAGTAATTTACTTAAAATATGTATACATTAATAGGTACAAAACAAYGAAATGATGCAGTRTGCATAATTCATACAAATATTTTACAAGTGTGCCTACTAATGCATAAGATCAATTTAAGGTAGAAGGTACCTGTATATAATATAACATCTCATCACATATTATATTATATAGGTATATACTATGCATTTAGGTAAATAAAATACTTGCGTTTGATATATATATATATATATATATAATATATATATAATATATATAATATGTATGCATTTCGGCGGGGAGGAATAAAAAAAAAAAAATTAAACACTCCGACTTTGAAGTTATGTATATTATACACAAAACAGTGTAAACGTGAAAAAAAATGCAGTCGAAATGGTTGTGTGTTAAGTGGAAATCCAACCGTTTTGCTATATGTTTGAGGGCCGAGCGATTTGTGCGCTAAACAGTGATGTACGTCAGTAAAAAGCTCACTATAGGTTTATATGCGTGCGTCTACCTATACGTATATATATATATTGATATTGTATAGGGAGGTAGTTTTTGAGGCAGCGGGGGTGTCGTAAAGAACAGCCCAAAAGTAGCTGCAATGGGATTACGCGCCGTGGTGGTGTAGGGAGACCAGAATGTGTGGTTATGGAGAGAGAAAGAGAGAGAGAGAGAGAGAGAGGTTTTTGCGATAAAAATGTATCAAAGGCTGCCTTTAAAACCGGCATTTGACAGCGGTCCCTGGCACTGGCAGTTGCACGTTCACACACACGCACACACGATCAGTGTATATTATATACATATATATAAACACGATGCAGTCCGTTACTCCGTTATTCTTAACGGTCGATTAGCCGAATGCGACATGCAGAAATGAATTGCTGGGCCGCAATTCGAACACAAGTTTTATTGTGATTCAACTTTGTGTGTGGGCATTAAGAAATACACGCAATAATATAATAATGATAACGAGTAAAGTTGGACGTTATTGGTCTACGCGTAAAAAAAAAAACCAAAACCACAGCATTATATAGGTAGGTTACAATCTCTGTCTAATGCCACGGAATCGCATACACAGCACAAAGCACAAACGATAATAATAATAATAATATATAATATAGGTTTGTTCATAAATCCGACGGTCATCGTCCCTGCGCGAGACTCGGTTCGCAGGCACCTAATTCGTAATTTAATAATATTATTTTTATTCTCTACATTCATTCTGCACGATGACACGACGGTCGTTTGATTTTATTATCGTTATTGGTGTTGTGTGATGGTTTTGACAATCGAATAATAATCTTATTAGTCATTATGAACATATACATTATATATA